GGAGGCGCGTACGTCCAGGTGCGAGGGAGCCCAAGCCCAGCGATCAAGCTAGTCATCCAAGGCGCTGAGATGGTGGAGTTATGCTCGGGCCCTGCCACATTCGTCGGCAAACATGCTGTCTCCCAAGGCGCATACTCCGGCGGCCAGGTGCCTTCCCAAGTGGTCATCTTGTACGACCCATCTTCCGGCACGTAGTAGTTCGATGAAGGCGTCGGTATGGGTGACAATTCGGACGCCCCCGCTAAGACAAGTCAAGTAGGCGCACAACCGTTGGAGTAGTAAGAGGCGCCTCCATCGCAAGAATTCACAAGCATTCAAAAAAGAGAGAGAGAGAGAGAGTGGCTTACCGGTTTTAGAAGGACCGCCTTGGTGCTGAGAAGAGCCCGCGGCGGCGGTGGCAGAGTTTGTTGGGAGAGACATCGCGCCGAGAGGAATGGAACGCTGAGGCAGAGGAGAGACACGGCAGAGAGAGAAACTAGAGTGAGAAGGCAATTGGGGGCGAATGAATAGAGTAAGGCAGAGAACCAACCTCCATTTAAAGAAGGAGGTAGCGCCTCGAAAATTGTGTCGTCCGCCACGTGTCTAAATCACAACCGCACGGTTTGGGACCCAACACCGGCGATTGTGAGGGGGCAGCAGGGGGTAGGCGCCTTGGAAAGGGGATGAATGCGGGGCGCCTCGGAAAGAGGGATGAATGTGAGGCACCTCTGTCGACAAAGGGAAGCACGAGATGAGGCGCTAGGGAGGCGCTTTTGACTGGGGGAAGCAAGCGGCTAAGGCGCAAGGCGCCGGGCAGCAGGAGACAACCGAGACGCCTTCGACAAATTGAAGAGCGCGGGGCGCTTTGAATAAGGGCTGCTAGGGCGCACGGCGAAGCGGGGGGAGTCTTTAATGTAGCGCGAAATTGATGCGCCCGGGAGAGAAAGGAAGGCGTCGGCTAAGAAACAAGAGGGTTGAATTTTAGGCGCCCCGAGGAAGGAAATCGAAAGTCATATGGCTACGGAGAGGCCCGGGAAAAAAAGTTAGTCGAATATTAATGATTGAGGGCGCCTGAGTCAAGGACGCCCGTGGTACGCTAGGGGCGCTGGGGTGTTTCAGTAGGATAGAAGCGCCTATTCTAAAAAGGCGTCGATCGCAGCAAAATGGGGGGCAAGCGGCTGTCGCGATGAGGTGGAAGAAGGAGACTAAAAGCCTAATAGTTAGGCGCTCAAGGAATCCAAAACTTGAGCACCTAACTGGGGGGCAATTGTTGGGGGTGTTCAAATGATAAGGCCTCAATACGTGAGTAGGGGCCCATGACCCTGGAATGGGCCGTGACTGGCGCCCATGAGTTTGGATCAGGAGAGCAAGTCGACCTGAGCGCCCGGTGTGATGATGTGAGTAGTTGCACGTTAGGCGCCTAGGGTGCGCTTGATAGTTGTGCGCACCCAAAGTGGGCGCCCGGAATCACTTGCAAAGAGGGCGCCCGGAATCACTTGCATTAAATGCAAGGGTGACGTGGAAGTCCGTACGGAGAGATCCAGGTAAGCCATGATCGGCTATAAATAGTGAGGTTGGTAAGCATTTACTCAATTTGGTTTCTCTCACTAAAATAGTGCATAATAAGCACTTCTCTCACTAAGAAAAGTACTGACTTGAGCGTTGGAGGACTAACGGGCCACAAGGCCCACCTCTGTGAGTGCAGGCTTATCCACGAGGGTAAGGGCTTGTACGGAAGGGAAGTTGGAGGATCAGGCGGGCATCAACAGTTAAATATGATTTCATTAATGACGAAATCACAATATTTTATTTAAATCGTTCATAGACACTTCACATGTTTGTCAGAATCAGTTGTACCATCAACTGTGCTTTCACTTTCGTCAGAATGAGTTGTGTCATCAACTGTTCATTCAGCTTTGATAAGAATGAGTTGTGTGATCAACTGTTCATTCAACTTTAATCAGAATGAGTTGTGTCATCAACTGTTCATTCAACTTTAATCATAATGAGTTGTGCCATCAACTGTCATTGAACTTTAATCATGTAGAGTTGTATCATCATCTGGAAGATAACTTTGACCACTATTATTGAAGGAATCATTTCGTGCTTATATAAATGACCCTAAGAACTTGGTCATTCTACTCATCCATCTATCAACCTTCTCTCTTGAAAAAAACATTCAACCTTCATTCTTCTCTCTTGCCACCCAAAACTCTTTTTCCCTCATGGATTCCCCTGGTAGAGAAGCTTATGAGAGGCAAAGGGAAGCTGGTGAGAGGGAAAGGGAAGCTGATTGTCAACTTGATGACATGATCAGAAATTTGAGAGTAAGAGAGGTTTTAATTTGTTGGGAAGAAGATATAATTGATCTTTGATGAGAACGAGAGAAGATATTGGAAGAGATGAGGTTGGAGTGAAGAAACATGAGGTATTTATTGAGAAATATATGAAAAAGAGCTGTTGGGGGTTAATAGAGCCGTTGGTAATTAATTGGGTGACTGAAAATGATTTTTTTAACACAATTCTAACGGGAATAAAGATGGCTCGCACGCAGGGGGGATTTTTGCGCTAAACGCGAGCCATGGATTGGCTCCGGGTTCAGTGCGCTCGTTGCCTGTTTGGAAGAAAGGAGGGCCCGCCTCCCACCACAATTCTAACTTTCCTTGACTTCTTCCAATGAGTTTTTAGCCGAAAATTTTGGCTTTTTTGGCTATTTGGATTTTCCCATTGATTGTTGGAGGAACTCTTTTAGCTTTTTTGGCTGATTGTTGGAGATGGTCTAACAAATCATACTAAAGTCTAAACATTGACAATAACCTAAACTTGATGATGATTATAACTTCCTCTAAACCTTGTCGATCCACTTTGACATTCATGGTCACCGGTTTGAGTTTTGACGATCTTTCAATGTCTCTTATTATGCACAATAACCTGACTCCATTGTCGGTCCGTCTCCCACCTAGTAGCCATTGTCGTCCAGATCTGTAATCAAAAGTCATATTTTTTAGGAAGAAGATATTGGAGGAAGATTGGAGGTAGTTGTGGTAGATTGGGGAGAAGGCGGATTCAATGAGGAAGGTGTCATTGGTCGATTTGGGGTATTTTTTAGGCAGAGATGGAATCTCGACGGTGAAGGTGGCTGAAATGGTCGGGCAGAGACGGAGGGGATTTGGGGTATTTCTTTGTTCTCTTTTTTTTTTTTAATTTGCTTAATTATTTGATGCACGTGGGAAGCCAACTCAGCATCGTTAATACCTAGTCAACACTACTACGGAAACGTCAACTAGAATTTACGGTTGGCTAATAATTTATATTTCGATAGTTGTGACTAATAATTTGAACACTTAAAAAGTCGTGGTTAATATATTGTATTTACCCAAAATTAAAATGAGAGTCAAACTTGCCAAGTTCGATTGGCTACTACAGTTAGGGGTGTAAGTTTGACCCTCAAGACCCACTGACCCGTCCCTGAGGGTCGAGACGGGTCACTTTTTGACCCTGTGATCCTACCAACAATTAGCGATATGAATTCCTCATGCTAACACTTGGGACAAATTTGTAAAGTTTTAAAAGTTTAGGTACTGTATTGCAAGATAAAAAATTAAAGGTACTAAAACTTAATTTTGCCATCAAATTTTTTGGACCTATTTGTTAAAAATATATAATTTATTTACCTAATTATAAGAAAAAATAATTTGGAGTACCAAAATATAATTTTTTTAAAATCTATATTTTGATTTGAGCCGATCCACTGACACATGCTGTTCTTGCCCGACCCTAGAGAGTCAGATAAGGTTAACAAGAATGGGACGGGTCAGTTATACAAATTAACCCTTCATGGACGGGTCAGTTTATACAAGTTAACCTTTCGATTATGACCGAGTCAGGGCAAGAGACAAAAAGAGGATGCGTGCCTACTACTGCAGTCTGCAGCTGTGCAACTTTCTATGTGATGTGGCGATGGGTCCGAGTCCGAGGCTCCAAAACACGACACAGAAACCGACCTCTTTGATGCGGTCCAACTTCGCCGGAATTTTGGACGAGTTCCCGAATGAAGTGGACAATAAGCGGCACCGTAACCGAACAGCCAGGTAACCTTTGAAAGAAGCCCACAATGTTGGCAACCCTATCATCCTTCAATCTTGCATTATGTCTAATACAAAATGCTATCACTTTCACATTCCAATAAATTATTGGCCAAAACAAAATAATAAGTGGGCAGAGATGTTTAGTACAGTCCAAAACTCGGTTCCAGTACTGGGTGAAATCAAGGAACAAAAACAAGCATCAATCCTGGGCTGTAAAACTGTAATGCTTAGCATCACCGGCCAACTCATGCCTTGGCCATAACGAAACTACCGATGCCACTATTCAGTATTCACCCGCAACCCCCCAGCTTTCCCCCCATATATATACAGACAGCCATCTTTCACCTCTTCCACTCAAAAACCCAATTCATTATCAAACACATTCTCACTTGACAAAAAACCCCTCCTCAGATTCCATTTCCCTTCAGATTCAGACCAAGTCTTCTTCTACTACCTCCAAAGATGGCCGCTGCCATGGCTGCAAAGCTGATGATGTTCAGCGCCACCGTTGCTGTCCTCATCATGGCTGCTGCAGCTGCTGACATGCCTGGAATGCCTAACATGCCTGGAATGCCTGATATGCCAGGCATGGGACCAGCTCCCGGCCCTTCGAAGAATTCCGGTGGCTTCTTCGCTCCTTCCATGGCTGTTGGAGTTGTTGCTGCTGTGGCTTCTTTCCTCTTTGCCAGGCTCCAAGTCTGAGAAGAGAGACAGAGAGAGGACTGTGGCACTCTGCCGCTTTGGGTGTTTTCCTTCCCAACAGGCTTGTATTTGTTCATAGGCTATCTTAATTAATCTCTTGTGTGTCTGTGTGATCTGTGTTGGGTTTTCCTATCTATCTATCCATCTATTTATCTGTCTGTCTATCTATCTATATTTACTGCCTGTCTGCTCTTTTATGTCATACATATGTAACTGGATGAAGATTTAAATTGCATTTGAATGCTGCTTTGTTCTAAATCTGAGGTTTAACATTTCAAGCCTTTGCTCATTCATCAAAAGCTTTACATATGTCAAGATAGAAGTGGAAGAAGAAAAAAGAATGGAAAAGTGAAGATAAGACTAACTATTTACTGATGAAAAATCTAAAAGGAAGAACTACGAACTCAAATTTCTAGTTGAACTAGAGAGGAAAGAATGTGCAAAAGATGCATGTACAGCTGCCCCAACAGGCAAGGCATCTTCATCTATGGAAAAGTAAGGGTTGTGGGGAGGGTATATGGCCCCAAGTTTCTCATTCCTAATGCCTACAAACATGAACGAACCAGGTACTTTCTCCAAGTAGAAAGCAAAATCTTCACTCCCCATGAAGCTAGGAGACACCTTAGTATTGGATTCCCCGACTATGTCAACTGAGGCCTGCCTTGCTAGCTCGTAGATCTCAGGGTCGTTGACGGTTGGCGGGATGCTGGGGTGTTCTTTTCCATCGAAATCCACTTCTGAGGTGCATCTGTGCACAGCGGCTTGTGCTCCAATAACCTGAAACAGAAAAAGAACGTTGTACCAAAAGCTTTGAGCATAGCTCCAAGATTGAAACAAAAATTTCCATGGAGGGTGATATGGGGGGCTGAGAAGCTCGGTTACCTCTTTGATTCTGTCCCTGAGGGCCTTGAAAGTTTCCCTGCTGAAAGCCCTGAATGTTCCGGCTATGGTGGCCGAATCTGGAATCACATTGAATGCGTTTCCTCCATTGATCATTGCCACGGAAACCACCTGTAAATTTCCCATTCCACAACAAAACTTTTAACAATTGGAAAACTGTAGCTTTCAGGAGACAAACGTTGCCTTGAACAAATGACTTTTCATCCCTACCTGAGAATCTAGAGGATCAGCTTCCCTTGAAACTATGTTCTGCAAGCTGATGACTGATGAAGAAGCTGCAATAATTGGATCGATGGAATTCTGAGGAATTGCTGCGTGACCCCCTTTTCCGGTGATCTTCGCCTTGAAGCTTCCACATCCAGCAAGGAACTGCCCAGGCCGGGAAGCAACCGAACCCGCATTGAAGACATGAGCTACATGAATCCCAAAAATTGCTTCCACCTTGTCTAGTGCACCTTCTTGTATCATGTCTTTTGCGCCATTCCCCTTCTCCTCTGCTGGTTGAAATATCAGGACCACAGTTCCCTGGTACCACATTTTCTGATTTGAGTTCCAATACAAAAGAAGAAGAAAACGCCATGTGCAGAAGTGCCAAGAGAGCCACAGAATATGATTGATACCTGCAATGTGTCTCTCATCTGTAGGAGGACCTTTGCAGCACCAAGCAGCATTGCAACATGAGCATCATGGCCACAAGCATGCATTTTCCCATCCACCTTGCTCTTATGCTCCCATTCAACCATCTCCTGGAAGAAACCAAAACAGAAAGGCTGTGTTAAGTTCTGGCAAAAAAAGTTTCACCCTTTCTTCTTGTGGGTTCATCAGTCAGGAGCTGCTAAATTACACAACCCATGTCAAAGATTACAACTTTCATCATTGTATGAATCCCCACAACCTAAAAAGAAACAAAAAATTTACAGATCCAATCCCCTTAATCTTCGAATTATTACTCATTACAAAGAAGGACCCAATCACTATCAGAATCGCTTTCACACTCCCTCATCAACAGTAACAACTTTCTATGCACTAAAATATGCAGCGAGTGAATGAGACGCAGCAGCAAATAAGAACAGCAGAGTGGGACCCGACGTATCCCCCTAGCCGGGGGCCGAGAAACACAATAAACAATTACGAAAAAGGGATCAATCGGACAGAGATGTATGTGAAAGCAAAAAAATTAAAAAAAAAAATTTAAATTTGAAATTGAAATTCCTTTCTCCCTCGATTGACCAACCTGGATAGGCAGAGCATCCATATCCGCTCGGAGAGCAACGAACGGCGGCTCGCCGGACCCAATCGTCGCCACGATCCCGGTCTTGGCGACCGGCCACCGGTAGGAAATGCCCATCCGATCGAGCTCTTCCCTGATCAGCTCACTCGTCTCGTACTCCTCGTACGCAAGCTCCGGGTTCTCGTGAAGCTTCCGCCTCACTCGCCGCATCCAATCCACCGTCGCCTCGTCATTCGCCAGCGCCGCGATCCGCTCCTTGGCCGAAGAGCTCCCCGATTCGGGTACGGCGGAGCTCAGATGGGAGTTTAGGGGTTCAGCGGAAGTGTTAAGGAATAGGAGAAATGGAATTTGCAGCAGAATCAGCAGTAGCGTCGTGGTTGTTGCTCCGACCGCCGCCATAGGGGGTGGCCGTCGGGAGGAAATTCTTTGTAGCGGTGGGGATGGAAGCGAAAGTGGAAAAAAAAAAAAGCAAGTTGTGGGAGAATGTTCGTTCGGAGAGGGAGGGTTTACTATATATTATATACATTTTTAGTGAGTGTGGGGCAGGACGATGGGTTCGGTTCGATTTTCACACGTCTCCAGCAGCAGGCGGTGGATCTACAAAAAAAAAAAAAAATAATAATTAGTTAGCGTGGATCACGTGCGGAAAAACATGATCTCCGTTTTAGAAAGCGAGCGGATACTATGCTCATTTCAGGCTTTCTTTTCCTACTCCCTACCACCTTTTAGACTTTAGGAATCAGTCTCTGCTATCGGCCCAATGGTATGCGTTGGCAGGTCCCAGCAAAGAGCCTCTCATTACTCATGGTATCTATGGGATTTTGTTTGGATATATCTTTTGATTTTGTGGTATGTCGAATCGAAATGGTGCATCATTTAATTGTGTGGTATTTCAATTGGAAATGTGTTAATTTTGTTAATGATCTTATTTGGATAAAATATTTAAGAATTGTGTTATTTCATCACTTAGATAAGGGATGAAATGAAAAATGAGGTTGAGAAATGAGTTATTTGAAATAACTAGTGAGTACAAGATGTTTCAAATGACTTACATTAATTTATTTCAATTGATTCGTGAAGTGAAATATCACAGTCCATTTTTTTTATCAAACAAATTATTTCGATCGAAATAATTAATACGTATTTACAAATTCGACTATACACCACCACTCATGTATGATATCCTTTTCGTGGTTGGGGGAGTGGAAAAAATCTTCCCTTCCACTTTGCTGAAGTTTACTATAGTGACGTGTTTAATTTTTTGTTTTCTATTTTTTTCATGATAGTGTTTTACAATGTCTGGGCGGCGAAGTGGCGAACGGTGATTACTTTTGTGACCAAATATTGTTTTTTACATATATGTCAATTTTCCCCTCTCAAAGAAGCCCTTTGTTTATATTACATTTTGTCAACATCTTATGTAGGGAGGATTGGAGCTCGTGGGAGGCTGAATTTACTAGTTTTCTACGAAAGGTCACGACTTTTGGCTTATGGTAAACGGTTATCCTGTTAATGGTGTAATCAATAATCGAATTGTAATTTATGTGTAATGGTTAAATTGATAATCGATTAAATCGTAAATAGTCAATTTTCGATGATCAAATTCAGCTCATTACTAACCAAAGTTGAATGGTTAGTAACCGACGGTCAGTTAACCGACTAATTGATTACAACTATTCTCATAGATAGACCCAAAAATATAGGCCTTGAGGAGCCGCATGCATAGGCTGAAAATAATGAAATGTTTAAAGGTCTACAAGATCTCTTGCTTACCCTAATTGTAATAGTGACTTAGGTTCAAATGAGAATAATTTCAAAGAAGAGTTTTAGAAGGAGCAAGTAGCTCGAGAACAATCATTAACATTTAAGCTTTCATGTAATTTGGTAGGGTTTATGAGTTGAGTACTTAATTATTGTTGGGTCTCTTATTTTTGTCTGCTTCTTTAATCAAATTTGTAGGTAGAATGATGTTATTGTGTACTTGTGTTGGATTGTGTTAATTATGAATTGACACCTATGTTAAATTTTTTTTGAACAACTTAAAAAAAGAGCACATACATATGGAGGATAAAATCTACAAAAATGCAGAGTTGGAAAAAGCAGGAGGTCTTCTGTTGATTAGCTTACTGATCGATTATTTTGATATAACCTTGTCGAATCACTTGCTTAACGGTGATCCAGTTAATCAAGTAAATAACCGAGAACCGATCATATGGTTACGATAACCGATCATACGGTTACGATAACCGACTAGTATAAACAATACAGTTAATTGACTAAACGGTTCCAGTTATAACTGAACCGACCCAATTGCCAGCGCTACTTTTACAATTTAGGATTTGAGAGGCTTTTTTTTTTTTTTTTTTTGAAAAGATAGGGTACAAAATCCTATCTACAAAACCTCTACAAAGTTTCATCTCTCACCCTTTATTTCATTTTCCATCTAATGACCTAGATTAATTCTCAACAGAAGAGGGTAAGAAGGGCGAACTGGTACTTTTGCCGCCTTTTTAACTTTTTTGCACTATCTTACACGGAATTCAAACGAGAGAGATAACTTTTTCTAATGCGCTATTTTTCTTAATCACACTCTATAACATTTGTTTTAAATCAGAATTTAAAAAAATTTGCATAGAAAGAACGCATTGATTATGAGAAAAAATTATAATATACACAATGATATCCATTTGCTATATTTTGAGAGAGAAAATTAATTTTTCAGAACACGTGTCGGTAATAGTATTATCACTGTCATATCTATCATGATATGATATGACAGTGGTATTATGACCCATCTCATTCATTTTAACTAAAAATTTAAATGAAATTGTATAAAAAGAACGCACTAATTAACAACTACATAATGATTTTTATTTTGTTATGTTTTGTCACACATAAATTATAGTTCGTTATTACTTTTGGAAAAAAAATCATGTAATTTTTAAAAAAAAAATTCGAGACATAAATGTTTTTTGAAAAGTTAGTCGTTAATTTGTTACAGTTAACTTTGGGACCACTCCAAATATGACCTTTTGTAGCTGTTACTTTACGACCTTTTGTTTGTCATTTTGTGCATCATATGTCTTTATAAATGACAATTCTTCATTTTCATCAACCCATCTTAAACTTATTCCCATTTCTAAAACAAACACATTCATCATGTATATCTCAGATAACTCATCGTCTGGAGGAGAAGAAGAAATCGAAGAGTACGAAAGGTTTCACCACTTACGTTTGAGTTTAATCGACCAGAGGCTGGCTGAAGGTTCATCAAGCCGAACTCACATTGATTGTGAAAGAGCCGAATGTAATCGACCTCTTATAAGGGTTTACTTCAATCCAAATCCAGTATACAATGCTCGCATATTTCAGAAGGCGCTATCGGATGCAGCCAAGATCATTCCACCGCATTATTGGCGAAATTGTGAGGTTTGACCCCTCATTTTCCCTAAGGCATGATAGCTTTGGTCAAGTGTCAATATCTCCAGAGCATAAGCTTACTGGTTTGATGCGCAAGCTAACATATGGTTCTCTAGCTGATCAACTTGATGAGTATGTTCGTATGGGTGAGAGCATCTTGATGGACGTATTCAAAAAGTTTTGCAACAACATTATCAACATGTATGGGGGCCACATATCTTCGCGCATCTACTCCTAGTGATTTAAGGATCTTACTCTGTAAAGTCTCAAGTCGTGGCTTTACTAGAATGATTGGAACAATTGACTGTATGCATGGGAATGGGGGAATTTTCCAAGTGGGCAAGACAATACACTGGCCACATGCATAGGCCAACAATCATTCTAGAGGCGGTGGCCTCCTACAACACATGGATATGGCATGTTTTCTTTGGGTCACCTGTATCGAACAACAATATAAATGTTCTGGGTATATCTCCAGTGTTTGATTGTATCGTCAATGAAAGCGTTCCACATGTACAATTTGAGGTAAGTGGTCATGCTTACTAGGGGTGGGCATACGGTCGGTTTGGTTTGAACCGAACCAAACAGACATGTACACAGGTTTTGAAAGGAGCATCATGCCAACCGAATTATAATTTGGTTTGGTCCATCTGAATCAAATTATAAATCGATTCGGTTTGGTTTCTTGCCTAGAACTGAAAAGTGGTTACTGTTCGCTAGGAAGAGTAGCAGTAGGAGGGACTGGTGCATTTTTTTGCCTAGGCGGTGGGGGACGGTGGGAGAGACGGAGGGAGATGGCATGTGCGACACTGGCAAGGCTGGATCGGCCGTCGGAGTCGGGCCTTCGGGGTCGGGGTCTCAGGAAGACGCCGAGACGGGGATGGCTGATCGCCGGTTGGGATCGCAGCTCAAGCGACGGGCAGTGGTTGTGGATTATGGTAGTGGGGCGGCTGCCGACTGCTGTGCTTCTTGCCTTCTTCAGTTCTTCCTTTCCCTTCCGTTTGATTCCCTAGAAATTGCTAGGGTTGAGAACTCACAATGGAGAATCAACATAGAATGGAGTTGGGATGTTGGGACTTGGGCCAAGGGAGTTGTCTAGGTGGGTGTGGGTGGGCTGGGCATTGGGTCAGTGGGGATTGGGCTAGGAGCAGAGAGGGTCGAGCTTGCGCACATGGGTCTTTGGCAGGGTGGCCCCTTTAAATTTGGGAAATTCGATCGGCAGTTCAGTTTTTTGGTGGCTCCCGAAATATGGCATATTCTCATCCAAATTTCGAACCTAATAAGGTTTATTTTGGTTTCTGTCTGTTTTTGTTTGGTTCGGTTCGATTTTACCGAACCGCATGCCCACCCCTAATGCTTACTATTAATGTTATTATTTGGCTAACAGTATTTATCCCTCATGGTACTTCTAGTGAAGACCTTTAACAATCAATGTTATTATTTTGCTCAACATCAAGAAACAAACCGCAAAGATGTAAAGCTGGATTTGGAATTCTCCAAACAAGATGGGCAATTGTTCGTGGTCATGCAAGAGTTTGGGTTGTTGTAACACTTAAGAATATAATGTTGACGTGCATTATATTACATAACCTGATAATTGAGGATGAGCAAGTTGATTTTGACGATGAGATTATGATGACCTTGATTATGAGGTCCATGAACAACCTCAACCAATCAACCGGCACATTCCAACTCTGGCTAATTACTTGGCAAGAAATAACAGAATTCATTCCTGAACAACACATCATGCACTTTCGAAATGACTTGGTTGAGCATCTTTGGAATTTGCATGAGAATAACCAGTCTTTTTTAATTGTAGATTCTATTGCATGTTTCAATATTAATTTTATTTCATGTTGCTTGGTAGTTTGTATTTCATGTTTGGGTATGTGATTGTATTTCATGTTTCAATAAAGTGTGTCTTGTAGTTGGTCCAAAGTTTCAGTAACACTAATTTTTATTATACATGAAAATGCTCAAAGTTCAAAGACAACACATAGCAGAAGTGTTAACGGAGACTTAATGTTTGGCTAATAATTTGTATTTCGATAGTTGTGGCTAATATATTGTATTTACCCTTTAAACTAGTTAGCCATGATATATGTTTATAGTTAGGTTTGGAAGGCTCAATTTTGGGGGGAAAAAAACAAAACAAAATGAGTCATTTGGTTTCAACCAAGGATTAGAATACCGTACCAGTGATTCGATTTGAAAAACCTCCTACCGGAAGCAAAACCGATAGGCAATATTTAGCGATAGAATACGGTTAAACCATGATTAAACCACGATTTTAATATAAAATAACTTACCGCTAATTTTTCCGGTACGATCTTTCAATCCTTCAACTTTCAACAAAACTATCAGATTAGTTTCTCGAGGCATTTAAAGATGATTGTTCTCCAAGACTCATTTATAATTAACTCGTTTTTTCTTCATTATCTTTCAATCATATCCCTGACTAGGGATGGCAATTTTGCCCATACCCATGGGTATTTTACTATCCAACCCAATTGGGTTGGGTATGAAATCCAAATATATGGATATGGGTAAAGTTTAATGGGTTTGTACCCATACTCATTTACTTTGGGTTGGGTTGGGTTTATAACAAATGGATTTGGGTTTGTACCCATGCCCAAATACAAATTACAGTTTGGTACCTAAACTTAATAGATATGCATATTTAGTACCTAAATTTAATTTTTTTTGCATATAAGTCCTCAAAATATCGATGAAAAATTACGTTTTGGTACCTAAATTTTTTTGGTCTTACATTTTGGTACCTAAACTTTTCAAGTTTTACAAATAGGTCCAATTTTTGCATGTGTAGTTAAAACACCCTCAAGTAAATGGATATCCATATCCAACCCATACCCATTTAGATAATATCCATATCTAACCCAAACCCATATACAAACCCCAAACCCATACACACATCACCCAAACCCTACCCATAATAAATGGGTCTACTTGGATTTGGGCAAAATTACCCATGGGTGGGTAAATTGCCATCCCTATCCCTGACCATTTTCCATAAACGCAATATTTTCGGTCATTTGATTTAAAAAAAAAATTGTATGATACACACTGAGTTTGTACGGTTGATGTTATGGTACAAATTCAGTTTATATATTTATTTATTGTACAAATTCATTTATGATACAAAATGAATTTACATTTTTTATGTTATATTGCAAACTAAACTTGTAAAAAGTATCAAATATTATATATTTTGTGATACAAACTAAATGTTGAGGTTTAACATTATATTTTACAATTTTGATTTATATCTCGAAACGCCATCACTTCATAGCATATTATTATGACAAGTTGCATAGCATCCAGTGTCCCGACTACCGACCAGAAAAACACATGTTGGATGCAAAACTACAACTCCTAATAATAACCATGTGTAAATTATGCAAAACCAAATACCTTGTAGTCTCTTCAAACTCCAATCATGCGTTCAAACTTCAAACAAATAAGTGGTCGGCCGTTCGCTACAGTCCAGTCCAACCTAAAGATCTGCAAGCATTGTGAAACACAAAACAGTAAGAAGAAGAAAAAAAGTGAGTGGAAACTGAAAACAGACCCAGTCAACACAACGCCATTCTAAATTTGTCAACTAACTGCTCCATTTTCACCCACCATTTTCATCACATTCCACATTCCCCTCTCCCTCCCAAACTCGCCGGGAAACCGCCATGACGTCGACGACGACGACACTTCTCCCACCGCTCCTCCTCTTCCTACTCACGGTGCTTCTTCCACCGCTCTCACATTCCCAGCTCACCTACGACTACTACGCCAAAACATGCCCCAAGTTCGACGACATCATGCGAGACACCGTCGCACAGAAACAGAACACCACCCCGACCACCGCCGCGGCCGTCCTCCGCCTCTTCTTCCACGACTGCATGGTCGAGGGATGCGACGCCTCGACACTCGTCGCCGCGTCCCCACTCCACAGGACGGAGCGCGACCCGAGCCTCAACCTCGACCTCCCAGGGGACGCATTCGACACGGTGGTCCGCGCCAAGACCGCACTCGAGCTCGAATGCCCCGACATTGTCTCCTGCGCCGACATCCTAGCTGTCGCGACACGCAACCTCGTCGCCCTGGTTGGGGGCCCGGCTTACCGCGTCCCTCTCGGCAGGAAAGACGGGCTGGTCTCCGACGCTTCCCGCGTGGAGCCCAACCTCCTGAAGCCCACCATGCCCGCCTCCCAGATCATTGCCTTCTTCGTCTCCAGAGGGTTCACCGTGCAGGAAATGGTGACCCTGATGGGAGGCCACACCATTGGTTTCTCGCATTGCAGGGAGTTCAGCTACAGGCTCTACAACTTCAGCAGGACTTCACCGACGGATCCTGCGCTCAACCCCAAGTACGCCGAAGGGCTGAAGAAGCTGTGCGAAAACTACACCAAGGACCCCACGATGAGCGCCTTCAACGACGTGATGACCCCTGGGAAGTTCGACAACGTGTACTACCAGAACCTGGAGAAGGGGCTGGGGCTGCTTGCCTCGGATCAAGCCATGGCCGCGGATCAGAGGACGAAGCCTTTTGTCGAGCTGTACGCGAGGAACGAGACGGCATTCTTCACTGCGTTTGCTCGGGTGATGGAGAAGCTCAGCACCTACAAGATCAAGACAGGGAAAGATGGTGAGGTGAGGCACCGGTGTGATCAAACCAATACTGTAAACATTTAAAGAGGCAGAGATTATTAATGAAAGAATGAATATGGATGGAGAGATGTTGCCTCAATACCACGATGAATCGATGATGATGATGATGATGAACCGACGTTTTGAGTGTATGGTACCAATTTGGGATAGCCATCGACGCTGCTTCTGCCACAGCTGCTATGTTTCGAAGAACTCTGTATGGCGTGTTCCCTGCAGAACAATTGCTGCCACTTTGACATATCCTGCATAAGTTGAAAACACAGAAGACAAACATAGAACTAATTCATGAGAAAAACTAAAGCTCTCTCAAGTCGTCACCCCTTTCTGCCAACTCTTACATTCCTTCCCACTCCCGAAAACAGAGCCAAATGATAACAGCATAGGGGAAGCATACCAAGTTAATTTTCAAACATACCAGCATCCTGCCATTTTCAGCTTTTCAGGTAAACTACGTCACGAACCAACAAAAAATATATTTTGCATACATTATGCAAATGTACAGGTATGGTTCTTACAATCACCAGGAAGAAGAGAGAACAGAAAAGCCTAGGAAAGGGGAAACTCCCCACCAAAAAAAAATTACATTTTACAATAACATTGAACTGTTGAATTAGCAAATTTACACAAGCCAAGACCGTCGTTCACACTTCATCATTAGCCATGACAAAGTCTAGTAGGAATCATTCAGCAACGGATTATGGCCGTAGGAAAAAACCAGCAGAGCCGAATCATTAAGCAACCGCTTATGGTCGGAGAAGAAATAACTAATGCGTATCTGATTCGGCCTTCGGAATTATTCTGCAGTGACGAATCAAAGATTAGGAACCATAGTTCCTGAAACATACTTGGGAGGAAGAAGGGCAAGTTGTTGTGGTCCTTACATGGATTAGCAACTCTTTCTTTTGTCTACTTTTAAGTGGATATTGAACCATTTCTTTTTCTTTTGTCTATCTTTTGTTGAAGATTTCTTATCTTTTGCTTGTCCGACTTCATGGGTCTCCTTGAAGGAACCCTTGCTCCTACTTTTACTCATACTCCGCTTCATTGGTGGTGCCACTGTGTAGGCTGCATGAATTTCATTCCTTTGTTTTAGCAGCTCGTCAATCTGCAATGTTTAAGGCCATAGATCAGAAACTAACCACTGATGTGAACTAATGACCCCAGACAATACTGTAGAAGTCACAAACCTCTTGCATCTCCTGTGCATACCTACTTGTCATTTCTGTGAATTGCGCCAACACCTGTCAAGCTTCCAAATGAAGTCAGTGGCAGTAAATCTACATTGGCAAGGACTTTAACAAAGGGACAAGTACAGACCTCACGGTATTCAGATTCAAACTTTGATACTTCTGTCCTCTTTTCAAGAATTTCAGCTTCAACAGCTCTAAGATTCTGCTTTTCTTCCCCGAAAGGTGCAGCACAAACAGCTTCTACAGTATAATTTACATTTTTGAAAAAATTGTCACCTGATACAATCACCAAAGTAAAGCAGTAAGCCTTTCCATGCATCAGAACAAGCAATAGTGGTGATAGAAAATCAGGAGATGTACATATTTAACAGAGGACATGATAAAGAACAGAAGGAAAAGGAAAATTCTAGAACTAACCATAGACGGCAAAAACATGGGTTCCAGCCTTCAATTCATTGATTTCGCATGGTTGAAAACCGTCTAGCCTCTTAAAGAAAGCAGCATCGGCATCCTTGGCAGCCGCAAGCTTAAAGGGAATAAAAAAAGACGAAGACCTTCAGCAAGCATATAAGCTGAAAATAGAAAGGCAAAATGTAGTACTCTTTCATATCACCATCAATGTACCGAGTTCACTGTTTGATCCAACCGATAAGTAGGAAACCCAAGGAAATACATTCCGGCAGATGTGACTTTTCCTGTTTTAGTGCATTCCTCCTACATTCAAAACATAAAACCCAAATTGTTCTTCAAACCACAAAGTCAAATGTTCTAAACAAGATTTAGGGAGAAAAAAGTGCTTAATAATAATATGCATGTAATTCATTTAAATAAGACTCCATAGTCTCACATCTGAGAGCACATCTACACATACAAATCCCCTGCAGACATTCTCTACAGATATAACTTATTGGTGACTTCAAACGATTCACCAAACTTACAGCATAATGCTGTTTCTAAACCTTCACTAGAAGCCCTATCCAAGACATGTTCTAGGAAAAAAGTCCCCCAAACCCACAGGAGACTCAGCTCCAGTAAATGTAGCTTATTTGTCTATACCTCCAATTGGACGTAACAATTTGTCACAGAAGAGAATTTTCTTAACGATCCAAATCTGAGCAACTGTGACTGGTCCCACCAACAAGAAAGATTACTGATAACCAGAAGGGACAATTTCTCAATACCTGTAAAGCAAGGCTCAATCCACGGTTTTCTTCCTGATCAAAGTACAATAACTGCAAAGGCATTGAACTAGTAAGACAAATGGCCAAATCAACTGGCTGCCTGACATGTTCAAAGAATTTCTGTACAGGGATTCACGACTGCTTGATGTTACAAACCTTGAACTTGCTTTTTTCTGTTGATTGCACTCGGCAAACGAAACCAGCTTTTGCTTCCTCCTCTGAGATTGTGACAGAATAGAAGTGAGCACTTTGCTTCTCAACCTGCTTAGAAGTGTAATCTCTATAAGCACAAACCAATTTTGTAAAACTAATATCTGAACCAGGAATATATATCACCTTGCGAGAAATTGGGCGCCCGAGTTCAAGTGGGTAAATGGGAACCACTCCATTAAGTGCTTCCTCCAATACGGTGGCAGATACTGTTGTCTTAATGGGCACGCCAAGTTTACTACAAGATGACACAAAAACAAAAATGAACAAAGATGCTTATAGACAAGCAATTCTGTAAGTAAAAACTAGAAATTACATATTGAATCAGTAATTAAAACACAAAAGCAATAAAATTACCTAAATAATGCAGCAAACATAGTGTTCACAGCTCCTAAACTTGAGAGATCCAGTTCCAGATCTTGATTTTCTGCCTCAACAGCCTGACGCAACAAAGAGGGAGCATTCATATGACCACAGTTTGGGAAAAACTTGCAAGTTACGAAATGCCTCTAACGTCAACTGAGTTGCACTGGATCAGGAAAGCCCAGGCTAATGAATCAATTTGATATACATTTCAGAAGGTACAAAGACATCCCTTGTCGGGATTCTATCGCTGCAAAGGTAACACTCCAACTACCTTACCTCAAAACCAGCATTGTCAAATTTGATATATTTTTCAGAAGGTACAAAGACATCCCTTGTCGGGATTCTATCACTGCTAAGGTAACACTCCAACCACCTTACCTCAAAACCAGCATTGTCAAATTGACGTCTTTTGTCGGGATCAGACAGTATGCTGTATGAAAATGTAACTTCATTGAACATATCAGCTGCTTTTGGATCGTTTGCATTCTTATCTGGATGGTACCTGACACACTATACCATCAGCATTCACACTTGACAATAGGTAGGGAGACACAAAACAATTGCATAACTAAAAGTCCAAATCACCATATGCATGAATCATGACTATTAATCGTTGAGACTACACAGATTCAGTCGCTGGGATACTTCTAACATGCTTTGGGTTCCCTTCACTTCTACTGCTAACCACATCAAGCTCAAACCTTTTTGAGACTGTGAAACTCCAAATGGGAATCTACCAACCACATCTAATGGAAGGATGGTTCTAAAGCATGGATATTTCGGTTCCTTTATACCTATTTTTAACTTTTCACCAAGACCTACAACCACCTGATCAGCAGTAAATTTATCAACCCCCTTGAATCCATAGGTAAACATGCTCTTCTACTACAGCATCAAGATTCATACGGGAATGTGCAATTACCTTGCCCTTCTACAATTCAGCCAATAGAGCAAGACGCCTCATTCATTTTAAAGTTAGCCCCTCCCTCCTACCCACCAACCCATTTATCCTAGATTCGATACTAAAACCAAACTATCTGAATTTCATAACAGTTTTAGAACCGAAGCCCCTCTTATGTAAATCTTCAAACGGATCCATTTGTAAAAGAAACGAAAGTCTTAACTTTGAATCCGAAGCTTCCATTTTCAAAACACAAAGGTAAGAAATCATTGCCCGTGTTTGACTCATAATAGACACTTCGCTGACAGAAACACATACAACATTAACAATTTCCAGTTACAAATCTTCAAAAATTCCAGAGACTGCAAATTGCCCTGCTCAATTACATGCCTTCCAACACTTACAACCAGAAAACCAAATTCTATCAACTCCTAAAAGAGAAGAAATGACTTCCAGAACCCCGAAACATGTATTGGCAAATGATACAAGAAAACGGAAGCGGAAGCTTACTTGAGGGCCATTTTACGGTAGGCACTCTTTATTTCTTGGTCGGAAGAGTTCCTCGAGACGCCGAGGACCTCGTAAGGGTCCCGCCGGAGCTGCTTCCCGGCATCCTCCTTCTCCGATTTCGATCTGTGGGCAGGCATTCCCAAAGCGAACGTTCGACTGAATTCAAACCCCAATAGCTACAGAAGCAGAAGAGCAACAAACCCTAACAAGAATCTTCCCCAATGCAGCCCGAAGAATTTCTTAACATATCTCTCTCAATTCCCGTTGCAGTTTCACGTGGAGCAACAAAAAATAATTCCCAGCGTTCAAATAAGAACGAAAAAGGCTAAAGAGCGCCAGGAAGAGAAACCCTAGAGAAGGATTGAAGGAGGGAAAGACTCCATGGCACCTCTTCCACCTGAGCTGGAGCTAATGGAGAGGGAGAGGGAGAGAGAGAGAGGGAGAGGAAGGCGATAATTTGCAGAGGGAGTAAGGAATCGGACAAACTAAGCAAAAGGTAGAAAATTGGAGGGGAAGTTAGGTGTCAAATCAAAAATTAAATAAACCCATTTATAAATCTCGTATGTAAAAAAATACCACTTTATCAAAATAATTAATTAAGACCCTTTAGTTTATAAAAAAAGTTAACCTTTTTCTTTCACCGTAAAAAAAAGTTACATTTTTTCGATCAAGCGCTTAAAGGGCACTCAATCTTTATGCATTAGTTTTTACCCTGGTAATTTCAAAATACAGCTAGTAGCTCAAAGTAGGACTTGGTTGAGAAATAATGTGTTCTCCTCAAGTCAAAGAGTGCCTTAACGATGCTAAGAAGTCGACTACAAAATTAGCCTCTCTATAGACATGCTTGAGGCGAACTTGCCAAGGATGCGGCAATAGCCAATAAACCTCGGCGATCAGCACTTAGTGTGGATGAGTAGATGGTGCCAATTGGATCAACTGAATAGCCGTCTGCGAGTCTGTCTGTACAACTCCAGCCAGCTCTGCACAGGATGGAACCCCCAAGGTTCACTAAGAAAAGCGAAGTGGTCATCGTCTCCCCTCATGACTCCGCTCGTGCAATAAGGAGAGTGAACTACTGACCCGTATGTGTTAATACTCGTCCATCCCTGAGGTGGTGGCCTCGAGCCCTGATAAAAGTTGCCCTTTAATAACGTATATACATTTCTACCTCCAATCAAATTATACTTTTTACTATTAATTTTTTACAGTATCAGGTCGAGAGAGTGACTTAGACCAATTGTTTAGAGCATTGTAGAGATGATAAGAACCTGAATTCAGTCTATGAGGCATTTCTCTTATTATCTAGTCCACTTAGCACCGAATTGGAGAGGAATGAAAGACAACTTAATAAAATTGGATTGTGAAATTGTCTAGAGCATTGGAGATATGATAAGAACCTGAATCCAATCTATGAGGCATTTCTCTTGTTACCTAGTTTGCTTAGCACTAAATTAGAGAGGAATGAAAGACACATTAAGAGAATCAGATGGTGCAATTGTCTAGAGCATTGTAGAGATAATAAGAACCCGAATCTAGTCTATGAGGCATTTCTCTTGTTATCTACTCTACTTAGCACCGAATTGGAAAGGAATGAAAGACACCTTAGTAGAATCGGATTGTGCAATTGTCAAGAGCATAGAAACATTGATAAGAACTTGAATGTGATCTATGAGGCATTTCTCTTGTTACCTAGTCTGTTTAACATTGAATTGGAGAGGAATGAAAGACACCTTAATAGAATCAAATTGTGTATGCATATCTTTTATAAATGGGTTTATGTGCTATATTTCAAGACCAATTACATGGGTTATTATGAGGAGCCATAACTAGGTTCATCAGTGAGGACCAATGAGCGTAGACCTTATGCATTTGAAAGGTTCAAATTCATTACTATGCTACCATCTTTGATGTGCATAACAACATGTTAGCCCCTCCGTCACATACTTGTCCATAGGTAACAATCCAAGTTGTCGAGAGTTCTAGTCTCTAAAGGACCCATCATAGTGTATTTTCATTTGAAAAACATTAGGTGGTGGTACAAGTTTTTGTCTTGAAAATTTTGCCTAGGGCTTCGTTTGAAAAAGTTATGTAAAATCATATAACAGAGTGTAAAGTTATGATCATCTGAAATTTCAATCTGTGTTAGATGAAAAACTCTGGGGCGCCAGCAATTTGGTTGGAAAAACTTAGGGGTCCACAACTATTTAGTGAAATCGCTAGGGATGACAACAATTTTCACTCAATAGTTGTGGGTACCAGTGATTTGTAGTGAAAACATGACAGAGTCCAACGAGTTTGCAAAAGGTAAGGCATGTTGCGAAATAGTTATATTTGCTATGTATGGAAGTAGGTTATGACTTTCGTTTTATTGGTAGGATAAGCAATACGGTGACACATTTAGTAGCTAAAAATGTTTGGTAGGTTCGATTTTTGTAATCGACTTTTATCAATTATGTAAACATTGTATCTTGGTGGTTTTGGTAATCCCAATGAGTTATTGACATAAAAAAATTTCTTCTTATTTTGGTGTATATTGGAAACTTTCCAGTTTTGCTCATAAATTTTTCAATAATGATAGAAGAATTTTTATCAATAGTACCAAACAAATTTGATAAACACTCAGTTTATAGTGTTTATCACCCTCATATTTGATGCATTTTACCCTTCTATCAATGTATCTTTAGGAATTTTTACTTAATTTCCTATAAATATCAAAACTATTTGATCAATGAGCTTTTATTAGACATGGATTGTATTTTTGTATCTTTTTATGTATTTTTTGTATCTTTTATTTTTTGCATTTCAAGGTAAAACAAAATCTAGGATACTTTGGATCAAAGCTTGGACGATTATGGAGGATCAAAGGAGGTTTTCACCCATAACACGAAGCCTAACGGAGGGGATCTCTTCTGGAAGTCTTAAGAGGAGCCCACTGGAGAAATGCAACCCAATTTGAAGAAAGAATAGACGACGGCCACCAAACAAGTCCACGCTGCAATGCAAATTGCATGAAGAGGTTACTTGGCCCACAAGCAACACAACCCAAGGAGAACCAAGGTGGCGGATCCCACCGCCATTGGGCCGCCACGATGGGTCAAAGTTCTATAAGATTTCTAGAAGCTCCTGCTTCATCTCAAACTAAAAAAATCGTGATCAAGTCGTGCAAGGAAGGTTTTAGGCCGACTTATGGGAGAAAAGACTAGAAAATCCTCTCTTGTAACTAGTATAAATAGGATATTTGGCTAGAGGCTTTAAACAACTTGTATACAGATCTTACAATGCTCACGCTAGCACTCTGCCCTTGGGGCACCAGTTAGAGAGTCATAGAGAGGAGAAGAAGCCCTATTGGATGTCAATGAGGAGGTCTTCACCATCGATACGTCTATCATTGGTGATGTCTTTCTATTCTCCTATGTCTAGCTAAACTCGAGTTGTTTAGGGATGTGAATTCTATGTTATTCATGCATATTTCTATAATTTAATGGAATTTTCTTTCTACTTTACGCATATGAATCTTTTGTATGCTTTTATATGTTGTGTCTACAATATCATCAAGGATGTTAGGAAACTATTTTCTTGTGATATCCCATTGCCTTGTGTATGCTTGTTTAGTTGGACACGATTATACAAGTATACATGGGATCAATGCTTTATTTTGTAGATCACCAATGCTATAAACCTTATGTTATGGCTCAAGAGTCCTGCACTTAATTAAGTGCTATCTTGTCTATTTTTAATTAGATAGTTGATGACATGAAGCAAAAGCACGTATTAGCTAGCTATGTTCCTATCGCATGTGATGAAAGCTCGGTTTGGAATGCATTTGTGGAAGGGTAGGGTGTCATAATAGATGAGGCATAGAAGTATTTTATTGATGATATTGCACGCATGATTATAAACATTACCTAAACAATAGTGTTATTACTTTTTTGTTTTGTTTCTTTCTTGCTTTAGTAGATTAGAATTTCGACCAAGGGAACCTCAACCCATCTTGTTTACTTTTCATTGCATTGTTATCTCAAGCATAAGTTGTTAGTTTTAAGTAGTAACTATGGAAAGACCTTGTGGAATAAGACTCTAGGCATTTATAGGATTTTTATAATTGATGTTTACTATGCATAAAGTTTTAGGCGCTGTTGTTGGAGATTTTTTTTATAGTATTTGAAATAAGCTAACCTATTGTGCTTGATTTTTATTGTATAAAATGAAAAAAATTATGCTCTAATTGGTTTTATTTTGCAGAATTCAATCTAAGAAATTCATTACAAATCTTACAAGGTCGTGATACAAAAAAGAAGAGCATCACTCAAACAAAATAATCATTAAGGCATCGAAACCCGAAGCAAGAAGCACCCCTTAAGTACCATGCATCATAATAAGGTTCAATTGGGATGATGAAGATCGAGAAGACAAGAAGCTATATAAGAAGATGTGTGGAGATGATCCAAGTGGCAATGAGATAAAGCTGGTTTCGATGCATCGAGGCAAGAAAACAGCAAAAGATCAATTTAGAACCTCTAGAAAACATCAATAATGAAGATCCAAAATAGCTACTAGAAGATGTTGAAGATATCAAGGGTCATCCGGAAGCCGATAAAGGATTACTCAATGAAATACACAAAGAATATGGAGACATGATAGACCATGAAGAGGACAATCATCTCAAGGAAATCCCATTAGGAAGAGGAAGAGTTGCTTGCAACTCAAACTTCAGAAGGAGAAGAAGGTAATTTATATGAAGAAGGCTGCAGTATTGAAGAACTTACACTAATCCAATCCTTTTTGAAGGTTTTCACACCACTTAAAGATGTTAAAGGCATCACACCACTTGAAGGTTTCAACATTTCCTACGCCTTCTTCAATCTGTATCCTCAATCAAGCCACCTACATGAGCATCCTTCACCATTGGAAACATTCTAGAGGGAGCATCCGAGTTTGATGACCCCCCTACACCTTATATTCAATGTTTAAAACAATCCTTGGAACCCCATAGACCTTGAACATGAGGAAGTATAGGTGGAAGTTTCACCCAAGGATAACCAACCTCAAGTGGAGAGCCACAAGGGGAGCAACCAACTCCACCTATTCATTAATCAAAGATGAATCCTAAAGAACAACCTCAAGAAGATCCCGGAAAGTTCATAAAGACAAAAAAAAATAAAGATCAGGAGCTTCAAGAGAAGTCAATAATCGTAAATGTTGATGATCAGACCAACATGACATCCAACCAAGGAAGGAGGCATGACACCACCATTATACAAGAGATCTTGGGGGAGTTAGATAACGAAGGAAGATAATCTAGCTCAATAGAAGAAACTTCAAGCCACACTCAACTTGAGTTAAACTCAAATTGAGAAAAAGAAACCAACAAAGAGTGCAACTTTGATCTCAGAGAAGAAGTGTCCTTTGAATCACCCTAAACAATGATACATAAAGAGCAAGTTGTGTGAATCCCACCTACTATAGCCTCCGCTTGAGCCTC